CCACTGGACAGAAAGAAGGAATTGATGGACAGAATTCTGGGAGAATTAAAGAGTTAAAAGGTAAAACCTCCATTGTGTGGGCAAGCACATGGTGGGGAAAAATCCATTGCTCCTGTCACCGTAATATTTTCTCTCTTCAGTCTTCTGTTGTATTTTTGATAAGGTTTAGTAAACCTTTCTAAATTTATGAAAAGTATGCAACTATTTTTCATATTCTTTAAATTAAGGCTGACATCAATCAGCTTGAATATCTAAGGAAACTTCAGAGAAAATTCCATGAGTTTGTGCCTGCTATCTTAAGTAAGATGTCTGCCTTCATATATCTTGTTGGGTGCACATGAATGTAACAAGCGACTGAATCTTTTTGAATAACCAATATTTTCTTTGTTGGATGAGCAAACGATTTGTCATCAGTGGAGAACTTGCTTTTTCATCCATCTTTGAGATGGATTTGGACCTGACAAGAAGCTTTCCATGTTAAAACAGTATGTATTCCAATTTGATTCCCAGATACAAGCCTGTGATCTGGATATCTGCGGCCTGCAAGCTTACTCTAGATGGTTTTCACACAGCTTCTTTTTTGTAAGGCATTGTGTAAAATTTTCAGACATGATTTAGTAAGGATACTGATTCTCACCTTTGATTTGATTCAAAGAGGTTTGCCTGTCTAATGGGTTTCTGATGCCAGTGACTTTCTGTTTGTCAGACAGGGAAACAAAACTTCTTCCTGTTTCTCCTTTTGGAACTTTTACTGTGTTAGGCTTGCCCCTGACATTTTTCTTCTACTCATAGAATGTGTAATAGATTGTTCTCACTGGTGGAATATGCAGCTTCTCACTGTGAAGGGAAGTGCATATAGGTATCAGCAGAGCCTGTTTCAACCTTTATCAGCAAAATAGAATAGATTTTCTATATGGCATTTTGTTGCAGCTGTGTTCTTCCCAGCTGAGTCTTCAAATGCATCTTCAAATACAGGTGCAAGTTCTATGGCTGATCTGCAGTTTGATAGACTGAAATGTGAAGATTCTTTTCCTTATAGCAAATCTGAATCTTTTTCTATTAATCATTCTGTACTGATTAACCATGCTTAAGCAGTAGTGGCTGGTTTGATGTCCTTCATGAAGTTTGGGTTTTTTCCCTGACTAATTTCTCAAGTATTTGCTGGCATCTGACCTGGTTTAAATTTGCTAGAGCTATGGTGAACCATAAGCTTGAGCAAGGTAGTCATAGAGAAGAAGAAAAAGAATATTCAGTACTCCACAGTCAGCATCTACATGACTTTGTCAATTCACATCCGTAGTTTTTCTGCAGGCTTTTTTAAGCATCCAGTCTTCCAAGTATAGTATATAGACTGGTAAAATAATATTAAGTTTTACCTGAGTAATCTTCTGAGACTTTTGGAAAGAACACAGTTTACTCTTCATCTTTGGCTTCTAAAAATACAAAAAATTAGTGGTAGTTCTGTCAGATCTTTGACAGTGTCTTATCTTGAATAAAAAGATTTGTTTCTTTTCCTAGCTCTTTGGTTTTTGGAGTTACTGTAAACTAATGTAAACAAGATTGTAAAAAACCAAAATTGTAACAGACTTCTGAGGCAAAGCTTTAAAGAATCAAACTCTAGAAGAAGAGGAACTTCAAACTCAAGAATAGGGCATTGCTGTGTTTAACTTTAGAAAGAAGTATCAGTTTTGATAAAGTCACCTCTTTTCATGCCTCTATATACGAATATGAACTGTAAGATGATACTTATGTATCAGAGTTTGATTTTTAGTTCCTAATTCAGTTTTATGTATATACTATCTTGAATCTATTTGAATGCTTTACATTTGATACCTGTCAGGTACATCTGGTTCTTCTTCGGTTATGAAGACCATAGCTCTTTTCCAGTAAGCTAGACACACTGTCCTGTTTGTGAAAAGGAGCTGTTTCTCTTATTCTAGAGTTCATCAGAGATGTCTGTAGCTGAAATGCTAATTTTTGCCAGCGCTTTTTTTTTTAATAGGCATGCTATTTTTACAAGTTAATTCTTTGGTGACTTGTGGAAATGCAAGCAAAGACAACATCTACAAATGTTACTGTTTAAATGGAATTGCTCCTACTTCAGACATCAAAAGAGTGATATATTGGCACTTCTTACAGATGTCTGCCTGCTCTTGCCTTCTTCACTTACTGTCCCATCATTTTCTTAGGACTCACGCTTCTATATTTCTGGGAGTTGGTGTTTCCTTTGGACCACATGGTTTGTCCTTGCATTTAGTGTCTGTCATATTAGCTCAAGAAGACAGAATTATCTTTTGAAGATCTATACAAAGAACTGATTCTTGTATATTCTGTTCGGGAGAATCTTGTTGCTTCTGTTTTTAATTCTTGCAGATGACATCATTCAAGCTATTTTTGTTATTTCAGGTTTATTTTTCATCTTGAGGCTGAAAAAGCCCAACAGTTTTAGAGGCTTCCATTTGAGGGGATAAATTAAACATTTTAATGGTGTTTTTGTCTCTGTTTTCAGCTGGAGTGAGGCTGTGATGAAGGCATAGTTAGGTGCTCAGGAAATAAAATAAGACTTAGAAGTCAAATTCTGTACAGAGCTTGTGAATTAGTATGTTGTGCGTGAAAACTTTACTCTCAGAATCAATTTTTTTTATTTCACTGTTTGCTGTGAGAATAGACACTTAAGCCAGCCAAAGACAGAAAAGTGTTTTTGCTCTTTAGGGTATGCAGTGAAATATTCTCAGTGAAGTTTCCATTTCTTCATTTAAAAAAATTTTAATAACATTTTCCACTCTGAATGTTGTAATGGATACCTTCCTTACTGTTTCCTTTGTCTTCTGTTAAATTTAAAATACAATTATTTGTAGACTTTTAAAATATTTTAAAAAGGAAGTGAAATCCACATAACTTGTATTTATTAATGATTTTTAATAGGCTGGCAGTATTTTTGAGTAAATCTATCCTATTAACAGATGTCCATCTGTGGGAGGGTGCTAAGGAGTCCTTCGAAACTGAAGTTTGCTAATTCTCTATTAAGGGCAAAAGAGCTGATGTTTGGAAGGAATAATACCTAGAGAATATAAAGAATCTATTTGTCAGAGACATGGAATGAGGAAGGTGGGAAGGACCATGGGGGGTCATCTGGTCCAACCTCCCTGCTCAAACAGAGTCATCCTAGAGCACATGGCACAGGTTTGCGTCTAAATAGTTCTTGAATGTCTTCAGTGAGGGAGACTCCACAGTCTCTCTGTTCAGTATGTTCCTGTGCTTTTTTTTTGATGCCAGTGACTTTCTATTTGTCAGACAGGGAAAAATAGTTCTTCCTCATGTTCAGGTGGAGCTCTCTGTGTGTCAGTTTGTGCCTGTTGCTTTTTGTTCTATTGCTTGGCACCACCAAGCAGAGACTGGATCCATCCACTGACACCCTCCCTTCAGATACTCACAGACATGGATGAAGTCCCCTCTCAGTCATCTCTACTCAAGGCTGAGCAGGTCCAGCTCCCTCAGCCTTTCCTGCCAAGAGAGATGCTCCTGTCCCCTCATCATCTTTGTCACCCTCTGCTGGACCAGCTCCAGCAGCTCTGTGTCTCCCTT